TGTTATTAAAACTTGCCTACTACATACATACACATACATCCTTCCACATATATGCGCCTCTTTGCCTTATTTCTTTGTAGATTTTATTCCTAGAATATGCATAGTATTGTGAATGGTGATGTATAGCCTAAGTATTTATTTGAAATTTTGTACTGATAGAGCAATAAAGTGAACCTCATTTTATGTAACAATTTAATCTATAATTTGTTATATGTTGTGATGTTTGCGAGCAAAATTCATGGAGTGTTAGGTTAAAAAGCCGAAATGGGTGACAATTTGTAATGCTTACAACTTTTGCTCTTTCCAACTCCAACGCATTGCTCTCTTTTTACTACTATTCTAGAAATAGACTTTCTACTTATAAATTATTTATAATGCCCTACGATTACAAATGATCTAGTAACTCAAAGCATAAATCTTCTACTCAGTTAAAATTGAATAAAACTTTCTAAAATTCTTTAACTATTTATATGCTACAAACTTATAAAACTATTCATTTCTTCATTTTGTAATTATAAAGAATAAATGTAGCTGCCAAAGCACGTCTAATTTGGTGTTATAAAATAGTTTATGTACCTTATAAACCCCAATACTCAATAAATGCCCAGCAATGTTTTGAGTATAAAACATATTTGCAGGTATTAGTTTTAATAATACTTCCATCATATGCATTAAGACCCTTATATACATATGCGACCAACTTTTCTATAACGTGAGAATATAAAAACCATTTCCTTTTTACTTTTCAGCCAATCTTGCAATGCATTAAAACCTAAATGATATGTTTAAAAAATCACATGGCAGAGTTTAGTGGCATTCACTATCCAAAAGATGCAAGATATGCTATCAGCCTTCCTGATTTCCCGGCTGAATTAGAAGTCCATCCGTGAGCAACTTCCTAAAGAGGGAAAGACTAGTCTAAAAAATTCTTATCAAATGCATTAAATTTGAGGAGCACTTACCATGCATGGTTTTGTCTAACACTCTCTTCAGTAAATTGTCAAGGAAAGTACCAACCAAGTAACTGTGAGTCCAATATGGTAATTATCCTTCGAATTTTTTGAGTGTTGAGCCACATTTCTCTCTTGGTACCAGAGTTGTATGCTAGCTCCGACCTATGTGTTGCTCCATATTGTGGAGTCACAAACCCCATTTCTTACGCCCTTTTTTTAGTCAAAAGAACTCAGACTTACACATCAATCATATCTTCCAACTCTGAGAAAAATCTGCCAACTTGTAGCCAGTTGGAACCTCTATTGTTTGGATCCATCCAATATTCCAGATTTTGGTTCGTAACGCATCTTCCATGTACGACTTATTCAGTCATAATTTGATAAGCTTCCGGACGATCTAGAATCACTCAATGTCCAAAAGTACAAGTCATGTCATTCCTTTGTTATTCTCGTCATTTTGGACAACACACTCATTTCCTCATTTTAATAAACATGCAATTTGTAAGATTTATCTTCTTCTCAAGTGTCCTAGTGCTAGAATTACCTATTTTCATAGATTTCGAGCCTTCTCGAGGAGAAAAGTGCCTACGTATTTTTAACCTACGGTTCAACGGCCATTCTCACATTACCATGTTTCCATTTCTCAACTACCAAGCTGAATACAAAGTTCCTTATAACCTCAAGGACTCATTGATCACTTTTTCAGATGGCATTCTAATTCATTCTTACTCCAATAGAGGATTATGATCACCAATACTAGTGCTAGACAAACCGTATATTTGTTATTGAACTAGAATGACTAACAAAATGTTCTTAATTGAGAGTGCTCTCGAATATACTTATCATAGGAAATCTAGATCGAAATAACAAAATAAACATGAGTTGGTGCTCTATAAACTTCATAGAAAATTTGAGGAATACATTTTAATCAATCTAGCATCAATTCAAAATTTGAATGTATTTTTATCAGTTGGGGTGCTCCATTATCATTTTAATGTGAGGCTGTTTTGAAGCCCACAAACTATAATTAGCTCAACCTTTTCATAAGTTGAATGCATCCATATTTGAAAAGAGTCCTCAAAAGACAGTATAAGTTGAATGCATCCATATTTGAAAAGAGTCCTCAGAAGACAGTAGATGATGTCAATAAACTCTAAATCATAAATGAATCTTGCAAGGAATTTAGCCTTTAAAATCATAATTTAAAAAACAGATTTGCTGAAAGAAAACAAATCCTAGAAACAAGGCACAAATTAATTCCTTATGTTAAACCATTAAAATGAAAAATATTTTAGAAAGAATTTGTCAAAGTTAAAAAAGAAATGACAACTGCTAATGCTTTGGTACTTAAAAGAAAGGCAGCGATTGAAACATGCTTTCAAACATTATTATACTTTTGAAAGAAAATGGTTTGCAACAGATTTTTGAAGCAATCGCCAGCAAGTATAACATACCAAGCCAAGAGAAAACAGCTAGCATCTCACAGAAGACTGCCAATAGATTTGTAGCAATTCAAGAATTAGCTCGAGCCTTAAAGTATGCTTGGTTGCCTAATGCATTATTTTGCTCCTTCCAATCAAGGTCTAATCCAGGAAAACTCCATGTTGAAGGCACTGATACAAAGGCAGAGTATGATGGGCTAAAAAACAATTCTAGCCCACATCTGAGCTTTCTTCTTCAACCCAACAAATGCCCTGTTGAAAGATTAAGAATATGGGATCATAATACATTAACGCTCAAGCATAAAGCCAACAGCACTTCATCAATCAAAATACACATTCATAAATTTAAGAAGGAAATGTTCAGCAGCGGGCATAACAACATGACAATTTAAAAGTTCATGTTAAGCTTAAAAAACATTCAAGATAATGCTTAACGTTAGCAGTGATTAGAACAACAAAAGGGCTAAACACCTGATGAAAAGCATCATGAAAAGCTTTAAAATAGACATAAAAATGGGCAGAAGTCCTCATAACACGCACATACACATACTTTTAATGAGAGAGAGAGAGAGAGTGTGTGTGTGTTTGTGTGTGTGTGAGGGGTGAGAGTTAGGCTATTATCCTTTTCGAAGGATAAGAGCCCTTATCCTCATGTATCTCACATATTCATTCAAATCTTAGAAAAGAAGAAATTAAGTAGCCAAATCTATTTTTCTAATCCCCAAAATGAAATTTAATGACCTAAAACTGTCTTATATCTAATTTTCTCAAGGATGTGGATCAAAAGCTCGCCTTGATACAAAAATAGTTGTTGAAAGATGAAAATGAATAAACCTATATTTAAAAATAGAAGAAAAAAAGTAGGAATGGACAAAGAAAATATAGATGGCCTTCAAGAAACAATTAAATTCATCAGTCTTCTCCGCAATCTAAGCGGACTTTCTCCGGAGGTGGTAGAAAAGAGAAATTCATGGGCAATCCTTCACCAAGACTTTGCTCTTAGTGTTAAATCTATTTTTCATATGAAGCCATGTATAAGATCTTCTAGCCGAAGAAAGTTCATATCCTTCTCAAAGTAATGAAAACTTCATTCGAGAAATAGCATTCAACTATCCATCCAAAAGACAAATGATTTATATTACAAGGATTAACTTCAACTTAAGCACTACAGCCAAACCTACCCAAGCTAAGTCCTGATCAAATCTACTTCAAAACTAACGGATGGACTTTAATGTCCTCAAAAATATTATTATAAAACCAATATACTTAAAAGAACTTGAAAATAAAACTATGACGCAAATAAAATGCTTAAAAAAAAAGAGGCACAAACAAGCGATTCATTTTCCTTGAAGATAAAAAGCCATGAAACATAAAATGCAGCTTCTTTCAGATAAGGGAGGGAGAGATTGACCATATGGCATATGCTATATGAGAGCTGCAATACTTCTTCCCACTTGCCAACACAAAGAAGTCCCTTAAAAAGGCTAAACAGAAGCATCAATTCTGGAATATGACCCCTCAATGTCATATCACTATACAATTGAAATGCTTTATCAACCTTGGATGCTAAACATAGGGCCTCAATAAAGACAGAATATGTGTTCAACTTGAAAGTTGGACTGAACGCTGAACTGCCTTCAACTTCTTTGTACAACTCAAAGGCTTCATCGAGCCTTCCAGCTTGACAAAAACTGCCAATAATTATCTTGTAAGCTGGGACTACAGGCATTGAACTATAGTTTGATATATCTTCTAAGAGTCCAATCGAGGCTATAAACTTCCCACTGAAACCTTCAATAACTTTGCCATAACCAGCCACATGGATCGGCCAATATGTTTGCTTCATTTCATCTAGAATTCCAAGTGCCTCATCCAAAAGCCCAGCAGCACAGCAATGATTTATCAACACTGTGTATGTGATAAAGTTAGGAGCACAACCCTTACTTATCATCTGCCCATAAATCTCAAGGCACATATCAACTTTATCAGCATTTCCAAAGCCATCTATCATGGCAGTGTATGTTACAACATCCGGACTACTTCCTTTCTCCACCATCATTTTAAAAAGCTTATATGCCTCCTCAGTTTTTCCTACTTTACAAAGCCCGTCAATCATCTCTGTGTATGTGATAACATTTGGAGCACAAGAGTTCACTAACATTTTGGATAGAACCTCTAGAACAAGATCCAGCCTTTTATCCTTAAACAGCCTATCAATTAACGAACTGTATGTATAGACACTTGGGTTATGGCCATGCTGAGACATTCTAACAAGAACATTTTGTGCCTCATCAAGGTTACCAACTTTGCAGAAACCATCAACAAGAGCATCATAGACAACATGATTTGGCTCACAGCCAGATGATAACATTGCATCCAACAAATCATGAGCCTCAATTACTTTGTGAGCTTTACACAACCCATCAACCAATGCACCATAGGTAAAAACATTTGGTTCTGTACTGCTAGTACTGTTAACTTGAAAGTACATGTCAACATCCTTTCCTTCATAAGTTCCTCTCATTTTTGAATAAATTTGGCAGGCTTTCTCAATGTCACCAGCCTTACAAAGCCCATCAATCAAAGCACTATAGGTGACAACATTTGGGAGACAACCCATGCCAAGCATACTCATAAACAGTTGATTTGCCTCTGAAACATTCCTAGCTTTAAGATAGGCGTGTATAAGTGAAGTGTAAGTCACAACATTTGGTGTGCAACCATTTCTTTTCATTTCATCAAACCATTTTCTAGCCTGTTGGATAAGCCCGACCTTACAAAAAGTGTCTATTAGAATGGTATATGTGTAAACATCTGGTGTAATACCAGTAATTTTCATTTCTTCAAACAAAGAAAAAGCCTCCTCCACCTTCGAAGACAGACATAAACAACCAATCAATTTTGTGTACGTACTAGTATCAGGTACAAACCCCTTGCTCATCATCTCTCGCAAAACATTGAAGATCCGATCAAACTTTCCCAGGTTGCAAAGGCATTCTGCAAAGTTAACAACATTTACCTTATTAAGCACAACACCAACATCTAGCATTTCTTCGTATGCTTTTTCAGCCAATTCCATTTTTGCAGAACTTGCTTTCCCATCACCACAAACTCCTCCAATAAAAATGTTATAGGGTACATAACCCGGTCTGCAACCACATCTATCCATCTTTTTTAGCAGCTTATAAGCATAAGTATAATCTCCAGAAGTGCAATAAGCATGCAAGAGAGAATTAAACAATGATGGGCTTGGATAGCAACCCTCCATGATCATCATGGCGGTGATCCTCTTGCACCATCCAAGCTGTTTTTTCTTTAAAAAACCTGAAAGCAATGTTCTATAAGTTATAATATTTGGCAAGTGGGAATTTGAGCGCAATCTGTGAAGCAAGGAAATGGCTTCCTCAAACAGAGAAGCTTCCAACAATCCACTTATCATCTGAGTGCATAAAAAAGTGTCAAGGGTGAAATCTTCCTTCTCTAGGATTGTAAGAGCTTCCCCCCATCTCCCTGCTTTGCATAATGCCTGAACAAAGCACCCTATTGTGAACTTGTCCATGTAATACCCTGAATCTGACATCTCCCTATGAACCAAAAAAGCTGAATCCAACATGTCAGCACTCAAAAGAACCTGAACCAAAGCATTATAAGCAGTTCTGGATGGCCTGTTACCAAAGTCCTTAAGCCTCCCAAGTTCCTCCATAGCCATCTTCCAAAATCCATTTCGACAGCATTTTCTTATCAACACATTAAGCAACCTCCCGAGCACTTCTCTGTCGTCTAGTTCAATCTCTCTAAAAAAATGCTGAGGGATACTGTTCTTCTCGTTGAAACCAAGCACATCAAGCAAGGTATCATACGTAAGAGTGTTGTGGGTATAGCCAATCTGTCTCCCGGCCCATAAGAAGAATTTCACCGCTAAAGCAGGGAACTTCAGAAGCTTCAGTACCTCGACAACAAGATTATTGTCCAGCTTTCCCCGAAACTGACGCAGGTACTTGAGCGTCTGGTCATCCAAGTCATCAAAATTAGACCTAATCGCCTCAGAAATCAAAACAGCTACCTCAGAAAACTCGTGTTTTAAGGATGAATTACAGCCCGCAGCCGCCTCTTGCAAAAAGGCGAAGTCTTTGGCTGAGACAGCAACATGTTTCTTGTTTTCTTTACAAACTACCCATCCATTCCCGGAAATAGAGCAATCCGGATCGACCAATCCTTGTAAATCGCCTATGTGAGAAGAACAACTACTACTTCTACTACTATAGAAGAAAAGACGGCCTCTTTTGTGAGTATTGAAGAGGGAAATCAATCGGTTCATTGACAATAAGCACAGAAGGTTTTCGGATAAATCTCGGGGCATCGCTGCACACTGCAATAGAATCGCGGCGGGTACCCGTCGGCTTAATGACATGAAGCAGAGGGAATGGCGGATTGGCGGCTAAACAGGCTTTTGAAGATTGGATTTCGATTCTGATGAGTTGAATGGTCCATGCAAAGATCTGATTTTGAGGAGAGCTGAGCGGGAGAAAGGAAGACGACCTGCTCATAAAACCTGCATGGTATCATAAACATAAACATAATGTAACTATAGAAAGTTTAAATAAAATGCAAGAAATTTTAATATGAGGAAAATTAGTTGTAAAAAACTGGAGAAAGGCAAAACCCGACATCTTATATGAAAAATAGGGATTGAGTGTAAGAATTTAGTAAAGATGAGAGCTCAAAGCTGAGCTATATGCTTTAATATCCAACATTGATAAAAGTTGTCAACCCGACAATCCGAGGAGGGGTAACTCTTAACCTCGATCTAAGTAATTAACATGTAGACTATTATAAGTTTTCATTAAAAACAATGAGCTATATGCTTTAATATCCAACATTGATAAAAGCTGTCAACCCGACAATCCGAGGAGGGGTAACTTAACTTCAATCTAAGTAATTAACATGTGGACTATTATAAGTTTTCATAAAAACATATTGATTTTTCATGCATGTAGAGTTTACTCTGGCAAGCAAAAGTACGTCACAAAAAGGATTGTTGTTATTTTATATTGTATGTGTTTTCTCATAAAATAGCATAGTTCACAGGCTAATCAATCTAATCAGATTAGGACTGTTAGTAACCTAAGAGTGTCAGGGACAACTCTTACCAAAGCTGATGAATAGTATTATCAGTCATATCTCCTCTCTTTATTGAGGATCCCTGAGATAGGAAATATTATTCTAATTCTCACTATGTATCCCTTGTTTAGCACAGTCGTCATTGCCCTTGCCACCTAGACCTCCAACTTACTCAAGTTCGATGATCCATATGTGGCAAAATATCCCCAGTTTTTCACAAATATTTAAATACCTTATCCAAGACTCAAATCTTTGAGCATTAGGTTATAAATGTAGGATAAGTAGTATAGAGTATTTTATTAAAATATTTAAATACCTTATCCAAGACTCAAATCTTTGTATAGAGTATTTTATTAGAAGTGTGAATTAACAGGTCCCGAGTCATTCTTGGTGCGTCCCTAAGTTTTTGAGGATGATTTTCTTCAACAAAGCATAATAGATCCAAATGTCCTTCAAAATATCCAAAGGATTGCAAAAGTGTTCGGTTCATGACCTTAACATGCTTTAAACCCTTTGAATCATTTTGAGTTCATCTGGACTTAACATCTTATTGAATTAATCGTTATTGAATTAATCATCCCTAGTTAAATTAAGTTTTAGTTGTGGTTTTTTAAATTATGCTCAGTGAATTTTAATGTTTAATTATCCCATAGGTCGGGTAATCAGACGTTCATGTGATGCTTCATTTAAGAATTATGTGGGTAGACACTCTTAAGGCAAGTTAAATTGTTATGGAATCCTCACATCTTCAATTTAAATTGAGCTTGTAGTGTTTTAAAGAGGTTGTAATCAATTGCATTTTCTTTTCTAAACCTCGTTAAGTAATTTTAGATCAAGCATAGTTCACTCTTAAGCTCTTAAGTCCTTATGGGTAGATTTGTAATTTTGAAAAATGTTGCATAAGATGAACTTAAGTGTTATCAAAAGATTGTATCATTGTTTAATCATTAATTTGGGCTCAAATTAATGGATTAATATCATTCTAGATCAAGTCATTCATATTAGGATCATCCAACTTATTTGACTTCCAAACCACAACAATTTAGAAAATTATATTTTTATTCTTTCATATAAAATAACATAAATTGGTTTCTACCATTTAACTTTTTATGTTTCAGTCATGTCAGAGAATTAATTATGATCAATATTACTCATTTACCTTCTGGTTTGACCTAAATCTTATTTAAAGTTCAAAATTTCATTATTATCATCTAGCCCATAAGACTCTCTACTTCATAAATCTTTAAATGTAACTCAAATGATTTTGAAACTTTGTAGTTACCCTACTCATGGGTTAATTAAAATATTAGAGGAGAATTTATATTTTTCTGATTTTTATTTAATTTTTAATAATTATTTTAATTCAAAAATAAGAATCCTCAATGATAATTAATTTAACTAACTATGATATACCTTCTCTTTTTAGAAGAATTATTGGAGGTTCACCTAAGTCAGAGGATCGCTTGGAATGATTTTTGTGAATTTTTTAATTATATTTTAATTTTTACAATTTTTTATTTATTTTAATGGGTAAATAAATAGAAAATATAATTTTATTATAAAAGTTCATTTTTATATTTTTCATAAATCTCTCTGACTTCAAGAAGCTAAGAAAAATAAATTTCATATTTTTCTTATTTTCATTTTATTTTTTAATTTATTTTATTTTTTATAAATATTTTATTCAAAAATAGAGAAAAATATATTTAAATGTTAAAAAATATAGTTTTATATTTAAAAATTTATGAAAGCATTTTTAGTGGTTCTCTGTAATTAAGATGAGATTCATGACATTTTGGAGTATTTTCATATTTTTATTATTTTTTTATATCTTTAGTTATTTTTAAATTAGAAAAACGCTTAAAAATTAACTTTTTATTTTAACTTCAAATTTTTTTCTTAAGTTTCTCAAGTCCCAAAAAACACTCCAGACTAATTTTCATAATTTTCTAATTTTTCTTTTATGTGTTATTATTATTTTAAGCCAAAATTATTATTTACTTAGAAAATAGATTTTTATATTAAAAATAATTTCTCTGGCTTTCAAGTTTTTATAGAAGCCTCATAATGTGATTACCTATAATTTAGCCCATTTTGGTAATTATTTGAATTATTTTATATTTTTACAATTTTTATTAATTTATTTTTAATTTTAAATAAGAAAAATACATTGAAAATTTAGAAAATTTGACTTTTACTTTTCATAGAATCTTCTGACCACAGTAAACATATCAATGTTGATTTTATATTTTTCTGACTTTTATTTTATTTTTTATAATTTCTTCAATTAAAATAATGCGACACATCTTAAAAATTAGGGCTTTTGGCTATAGAGGTATTCTCTAACCCTGAAAAAATCAGAGAACACTCCTAAGCTCACCAAGAAAAAACCCTCAAATTTTCATTTTATTTTGATAATTATTTAATTTTGTATTATTTAATTACTCTTTAGAGTATTTTAAAATTTTAAAATAAATATACGGAAAACATTTTTGATTTTTGGTTCGTATTTCTCCATTGATCATTGAGCACAAAGATAATTTTACTTTATTTTTAGGATTTTTCTACACCATGATAAGAATTTTTAAAGTTTTTGTAATTATTTAATTCCAAAATACCCTAATTTCCTACTTATCCACGTTGGCGTCGCGTCATTCTCAACGTCACTAAACTAACACGTGTCAACATTTGATTCCCTGCACTTTATACCTCAGCTGCCACGCAGCCCGCAGTTCCAGTTCCATCTTCATGTCGACGCAATCTCGTCCATCCATCCGTCCGACACACGCGAGAATGGACGACATTCGTTCATTGTCTAAACTAACACGTGTCAACATTTGATTCCCTGCACTTATACCTCAGCTGCCACGCGGCCCGCAGTTCCAGTTCCATCTTCATGTTGACGCAATCTCGTTCATCCATCTGTCTGACACACGCGAGAATGGACAACATTCGTTCATTGTCCTCGATTGCCCTAAATCGAGAACTTTCTATGTTCTAACCCTAATTTCTCACTCGATTCTTAACCAATTTGCATGGGATTTTTTCCTACACTTTCATCTAAGTGAGACAAACCTATCTATACGGTTAAATATGTATGAAATACAAGTTCTTTTCACAAAGGCTCAGACTGAAGTAAAATTTAAGGATTTCAGGTTATATGTTAGCCCAAGAGGTGAGGCCTCAATTAGGTTTGTTCTTGAGCTTCGCCTTGAGTTCACGAACTTCCTTAAGTTTTGGTTCGAGCTAAGGTAAGGTCTATGTATGATTTTGATTGGAGGGTGACTCGGGTTTGGTCTAGACCTATGTTAAAGTGCTCGGGAGAGGGGGCTTTTGATTGGAGAAGTGAGTTTCAGGTATGGGGAAACTTATGGATTGATTGTTTTAGAGTTTTGAAGAGTTTGATTCCAAGGCCGTGAAATGCTCTGGATTTCAGTGGCTAAATTGGGTTTTGATGGAGGGAATGAGTGGCTGAATGGATGGATTGCACTTAGGAACACAATGAGGAGCTCTTAAAACAATTTGGCGGAGTTTCACCTTAGTTCTTGCAGCTCTTCGTATTTGGCTGTGGAGGGGGGGGGGGGGCCATTTACAACACAGGCTAAGGGGGAGGCCCAGGGCTGCCATTGGGTGGTGCCATTTAGCTTAGGTGGAGAGGGATTCAACACAAGTAACCAATTGGGATTTGCTACATGGGATGGGTGAGAATTTGAGTTTGAGCCATGGCCACCCTTCTCAATCTTGGGTTTTCCGGCCACTAGGGTGGTCGACTAAGCAAGAGGTGGTGGCTAGCTGGCTCAAGGAGGTCAGGGGAAGGTTTAATGGTGATTAGCTTTGAGGTTAAGCCAGCTCATTGCATGGATAAGAGAGTTAGCCAAACTAGGGAGGGGTTTGCACATTTTGAGGGACCATTAGTCCGTGACACCAACTAGATTTGACTAGGTGATGTGATTAGCATCTTATGTCTTAAGACATGGTTGTGGAAAATAAGCTTTTAATTAATCCAAAAGTTTGGATCAAATTTTGGGTTTGGGCTTGGATTTGGACTTGGAATTGGTTTGAGCTTGGATCTAAATTGATTGAATGCTCAAATTGGTCTTAATTGGTCTTGAAAGTCTTGAAAAATGTCATGATGAATTTGGAAAACAAATTTTGTGGAATTGGATTGGTTATGTGGCTCAATTTGATGAAATTTGGTTTTAGGGTTTATTTGGGGTAGTTGACTTGGGCTTGGAATTTGGGATTGGAATTTGGTGTAAGTGGTTTGAATTTGGTTTAAATTGGGCTTTAATATGATGACATTTAATTTGAATTTGAAATTGGGTGGGTTTGAAATGAATTTGGTGGAAATTAGGAGTGATTCAGAGATTTTGGAAGTTTGAGGGCAATTTGGTAATTTTGGCCAATTTTAGTAGATTTGGGGAACTTTGGGTGCAATTGGGAAAATTAGGTGGTTATAATAAGCTTTA